TACAGACTTCGAAAAATGTGTTTGTAAAATTCGCTCTAAAAATCATGATTACTTTCCGAACAACTCATTAATTCGTTCACAAAGATAGCAGTACCGTCTAATGTCTTAACTCTTTGGTGTTAATCACTAGGTTCTTGATGCTGCACACATTGCGACAAAATTCGACTTTCATACAGAAGCCACTCGTAGCCTTCGTAGTAGCCACTTGAATGCTTATGGGCCTATTCAAAGACTTGCGGTGGCCTGCCAATGTTCAAATAAGTGTTTCTATCCTCCCAGACATGTCTGATAAAAATCAGTTGAACCTGAGAAGGATGGAAGGCATGATTAGCCTGAGCGAGTACCGATTTGAAGTTAGATCTCCGACCAGGCCCTAGTGATAACCACTTCCCATTACACGAGCGCCCAGCGCTACTATGCGGTGTTTCCAATCAAAACTGTCGGTACAGCGTTGATTGCACGCGTAGGCTCGGTTGTTTTGCTTCGCTCAGCTCGAATGTTACAAGAGCCCTATAGCATCCGTCAAATTTACTATGTTGTAATTGGGAGAGTTGTGGTCTGAAGTAAACTTGAGCGAAGTGGTACTGGTATAGTCAATGCCTACCTATGCTACTTCCCAACAATATTCCGGGTGGTAGATCCTTCCATTTTCTCGTTGCTTTTTTCTAGGAAATACATGATGAAGCCTATGTTGTTTATTGTCCTTTTGTCGCTTTCTTACAGCGATTCGGAGGCGTTGATTGAGTTAACTCCTTCATCGCCCATTACCCCCTACGCAGAAACGGTTGAGGTACAATTTGCCTCGATAATTTTTATATTTAAACAACTTACTGCTGAGGGACATTTTAGTGTTCCACCTGTTTCCAACAAATTTATATTCAGGTAACAAAAGAACATATCATCTCTTCATTTCTATTTCAGCCTTGTTGACAAACATATCAAATAGCACCATGTTAAGTGGTTCGATTAAAAAAATTCACGAAACAGGAGATAAAAAAACTTTGAGGTTGAGGTTTTTGTTTACGATTCTACGGTATGCTGCAAATCAGGGCAAGTTGATGTGCCTTTGATAGGATGACTGATTAAAGATCTAGAAATAAATATCAGTTTTGCAATTCACTCCTACAGAAACAAAAGCACAAAACTCCATCTCTAATTCACATTCAAAGGCACAGTTCACGACAATTTTGGGTAATACAGGTTATGATGGAAAATGGAAGACAAGATCAAAAATAGTGCGATGAAGGTGGAGAAATGCGTGAATCGGTGTTTCCAATGTGAAAAAGGCTTCGAAAAACCGTTAAAAAGGGGGCTGGACGAGAATGATACCGGAAAAATGAAGAAGAGTGGGGCGTTTGGAC